TCCTCCCACGGCCCAGACCAGTTTTTCACAGTGTTCCCTTTAGTATTAAATGCACATATAGATGAAGATAAGTAATTCTTCATATATTTTGATGGAGGGGATTGATAAATCCATTGTTTAACTTTATAGCAGTTTCCTACTTTCTTACACTGTCATCATAAGTTGCAATATTATATAGCAGTTGACAAACTTTAGAGCAGTTGTTTCCTTTTTCTTCTTTAACCCAAATGCAAATTTTAATAAATAGAGATAAGGCTTCTCGATGCAAAGGTACTATTTTTTTATTAAGCAATCAACTAGCCATATTTGTATTTTATATATTTTGCTTTGGTGGCTTATCCTCCAGAATCCATTGAACCTATTGACTTTAATTTCCTTGGCTAATAATCTAATGTGCAACCCATGTGCCTTGGACCAGTAAATAAGTAATTGCTCGTATACAGCTGATTGTTTGATTCAGTGGGCGTATCAATCAACTTGCTTTTGCTTATCTAAATCAACAAATTTATAATAAGAACCCCAAAGTTATTCTCATCGTTATCAAGAGCTTACGTACTGACGTGCAGTATAATCCATGTGCGTTGGGCTAGTAAATACTAGGGGTGAGTAAAATAATCGAAAAACCATTTCGATTGAAAAAATCGCACGAAATCGAACTAAAAATTTGGTTAATTAAATCAGTTGGTTTAGTTTTGATTCAGTTTCGGTTAATCAAAATAGAAAACTGATGATTAATCGAATCGATCGGTATATACATATATATTTATATTTTCTATACATTATAAATTAATAAATATATATTTATGATATATAATACATTATTTATTATTTAAAATATAATATTATATATATTTCTAGTATTTTATTATATTTTTTATAATACATATTATAAATAATAAAAAACTAAAAAATCGATGATTAATCAAACTGGTCAATCTGTCAATTGATTGGCTTCGGTTTAATTTTGGTTATCCGTTTTTCAAAAACTGATAACCCTAATTTAATTTCAAAAATTAACCAATTTTTCAATTAATTGAACCATGAATGCCCCTAGTAAATACGTAATTGCTCGTATACAGCTGATTGTCTGAGTCAATGGGCGTATCAACCTACTTGATTTTGGTTATTTAGCTAAATCAAACTTATAGAAAGAACCCCAAGGTGCTCATCGTTATCAAGAGCTTACTGATGTGTGCAATATAATCTATGTGCCTTGGCCATGTAAATAAGTAATTGCTCGTATACAGCTGATTGGTTGATTCAATGGGCGCATCGTTTGCTTGCTTATCTAAAATGAAAAACTTGTAATAACAACCCCAACCCAAGATAATCATCGATCGTTATCAAGAGATTACTAGTTTACTACTCCTTATATAAAGAAAAAAGAAATTAAAAGATGTATTTTATTGTTCCAACTAGTATTCCTTAAAAGCTACAAGGCACCGTCAATGACGCTTGGAGCCGGTGAATTGTGTAGTGGAGGGATAATTAAGCATGTGTTTGATATCATTGCCGTTGCTCCGGAAAATCGCGTTATATCTAGGGCTGTTCATAAGAATGCTCAATCCGATTAATCTGAACCGATTCAATCCGAGTCAACCGGGTTTTCATCAGTACCGGTCGGTTCGGATTGGACAAAATCATAAACCGACCCGAACCAAACCGAATCAATTAGTTTTCTAGTTCGGTAGTTCCTAGTTTCTTACTTAACTAGTTTTCTACTAGAATTAGAACAATCCTATCTTCTAGTTCTTATTTAACTAAATTGTATATATCCTAATTTCTATAGTCTTTTACACTAAATAGGCAACCCATTAGGCAATTACAATTAGAATTAGGTGTCCTTCTAGTTCTAGGCTTTCTATCATTTTTGTACAGGAGCAAAACCGAAACCGACCCAAACCGACCAGGTCGACTTTGCCTATCAGTGGGTCGGTTTCGGTTTCCACCTCATGTAACCCGACCAGGTCGGGTCGGTTGGGAAAACCCCTGTAAACCGACCCAACCCGACCCGTGAACAACCCTATATCAACGTCACGTCGGAAAAAATGGTGCTCTAGGAAATGGGTGTTTGTTTGAAACCGTTTTTTCATAAAAATAGTATTCTAAGCCATGCCTTAGGAATCAAGAAGGCATAACTTGGAGCAATATCGAATTTGGAATTTCTTGGAGATGAAATTCGTTGTTGTCAACAAAAATGTGAGGTGGTAATCATGTAGCACTGGATAATGGATATCGGTATTGAAAATGTTTTCTGGAGCATTAGTACCTGTTCGGGCCATGGCTGAGTTGGCCTTGCGAGATACGTGGCTGCCTAACTATCGCCCTGCCACGTCGGCCTAACCCAGCCACAACGGGTTAGCTCGGCCAAGCTACGCTATTACTGTGGCCCCCATCTTATCCTTCCAGCCACGTCAACTATACGTCATATGGATGAGCACAACTACGGATAAAGAGGAAGCAGGAAGACGACTCCGCGGGGGAATGAGACTCTATCCCGAATACCTCGGCGGGTAACCTCATCCCGACAACCCCGGAAGCCCAATCCGACCAGGACACGAATCTTCGGCTATAAAAAGGTACTCCATGCTTGAGGTAAGGAATCCAACTTCTGAGACCTATACCGCTACTTAGCTCGAACCGGCATCCTTATATTTCGGCCCAACCATCCTACCACCTCCTACTGATTTGAGCGTCAGAATTCTTACCCGGGGATAATTCCACGGGCCTCTAACTTCTGTTTCCTTGATTACGAGTCTTGAAGCGCGGCCTCGTCCTTGTAGCTCGGCCCTGCCCTATCAGGAAAGACTATCTAGTTGCTCTCTTCAATTCATACACCACATCGGATTGAACAACATAAGTACCATAAAAAAATTATTATTATTCCAAGAAACATCAATAACAACAATTCAAAGAAAAAAGACATTATATTTTAAAAAAATGATACTTCCAATTTACACATCAGCAGCATCCTCGTGTGGGGGGTCATTGGATTTGCTCCGATGCGGCCTAAACATATATACATATATATTAATAGTTAATTAAGGTAGACGATATTGGGCCTTTAGTTTTACTAATATCTTGGAAGTTGGAATGCTGGACATGACGAATTGACGATAGAGGAGTGAAGTGACGTCCAGTTACATACGGCCTCCAATTGGGGAAAAAGTAATGCAATTATTAGGGAGCTAAATCATTTTAATATTAGCATAAGTACGATTTCCACGTCAATTACCATTAGATTAGAAATAAAGAAAGCCCTCCTTTGGCTATTTGTAGCTTTATTTTACATGTACCTCGCTCCAACGCCCACTCAACCACTTTTTCTATACTAATTATTTTATATTCAAGTAACAATAAATTATAAATTATAATATTACTATAACCGGTAAGGCAGCAACTCCAGCGATCAACAACTGCATCTATCAGTCTATCTCTTTAATGTGTAAGGAGGGAAGCAACAACGTGTCTGTTAAGAAGACTACCCGACTAGCCGACTAGGGCAGTGAATGGCATGGCAGCAATTATTAAAATTAAAAGGCGTTTTTTCCTTTTAAAAAAATATATATCGCAATAAATACGAAAAGTGCTTCTTTTTTTTTTTTGTCTCATGCGTAGGATTCCTCCCATTATTTCCTGTAGCTAGCTAGGGATCGGGATTATATTATACGCAATTATATATGCATTTTATACAACCGTCAATCGTCATCAACAGCACCTCTGCAGTTCTGGTTACCAATGAATGAAGGGACAAGTCTAATTTTCATCCGAATTAATTCATGGGGTTTTAATTGGGTTGTCGAACCCGGAACTTTTGTTTTTGGCAAATGCTAATACCAAATTGTGAAAAAACAGAACAGAACGCTGTGGCCTGTGGTTTGATTTGGTCAAACCGGGATACACGGGCCCCGTGAACTCGTTGAGAGTCGGCGATTCCCTAACATCATTGAAATTGAATGGGTCCCATTCCATCCCATCCGGCATCCCCAATAAAAAGTCGGCACTTAATACGCTATCACCTATCAGTGGACGGTGAAGTAGAAGGAGAAGGAGTTGAGAAAAGGCCCCTTTGGGCAATGGCATTCATTAATAGGTCGCAGTTTTCAGTTTGGTGAGTGCCATTGATACAGTGCCAACTGCCAAGTGGGGATTGGATGTTTAATCATGATGACTACGTTACTATCATTATATCATCATATATTATTCTTCTCCATTCTCATCAATCTAGATTGAGACATCGACACCTCATACTTTTTCTTTACAGTCAATGAAGGGTAACAACTTCTTGTTGTCTGAATTTACCATTCAGTACCCTACTATACTGTATTGAGTCGTTTATTGGCAAAAAAAGAAAGAAAATATCAAAATATCTCTCCACACTGCACTCTGTAGATGATACCTACGTGTCCATTCCAATCCATCACTTGTCACTCATGAGAGAGAGATCCATCCCAAAAATGAACTCATACGGTAAACAGTACAGGAACGAATACAGCTCTTTTTTGTAAATTTTGGAGACCATTTCAATAGTCAAGACGACGTTTTTGGTTGCGGGAAGTGCGAAGAGACTTCAGATCACCTGTTCACAACAATTCTGTCCACGTTTATTTACATCATACCCCCGTCAATTAGGAATATCTCTTCCTAATATGATTTAGGAGGATGAGATATTCTTTACACGTAGCTGCCATGTTATGTGAGTAGACGTGGACAGAGTTTGTGGGCAGGAGATGCAGAATCGTGGGAAGATGCATTCCAATTTCGTGCCAGTTCAGCAAAAAGTGTCAGTCCGATATTTTTCACACATGGGTCCCACCTGCCTTCCCATCTCATCTCTTCTCTCTGACCAAACCTGCAGACTTTGGTTTGGAGTGCAGACGCCAGACGGACGGCAGACCGCATCTCTCTCTCTCTCTCCCCTTTCCCATGCTTCCCATGTGCTTAGACACTTCACATTTTATTATTATATTATTAATAATATAATAATAGAAGGAATTCTAAGTAAAAAGTGCCCGTATGTCCTCCTCCACCTCCTCCATCCACTCTGCTAACAGAAGGAATTCTCTGTGATACTCTGTTTAGGGGTTTCGCTTGCTCTTCCCTCTTTCTCTCGGCTCTTGCTCTTCAGGCTCAGTGAGCAAAGATTGCTTGCTACTTCTGTGACTACCCTGCTACTGCTAAGGTCTTGTTGCTATTTTTTGGCCATGTATATATGATTTCTGTATTTAGATAGATATAGGATTTACACGTATTCTCAATTTCTGTCTTCTGATTCTTTCAATCCTTTTTTTTTTTTCCTTTCCTTCTACTTGATTCGTTGAGTTTGTCTCAACTCTCTAATATGGAGAAGAACCCTAGATTAACAAATAGTGAGGGCATTCCTTGCGATTTCTGCAACGAACAGATCGCTGTTCTCTACTGCAGAGCTGATTCTGCTAAGCTCTGTTTATTCTGTGACCATCATGTCCACTCTGCCAACGCCTTATCCCGTAAACACCTGCGTTCTCAGATCTGCGACAATTGCAGCTCCGAACCGGCCCCTATCCGCTGTTCCACCGATAATCTCGTGCTATGCCAAGAGTGCGACTGGGACGCACACGGGAACTGCTCTATTTCCGCCTCTCACGAGCGCAATCCGCTTGAGAGCTTCTCCGGTTGCCCTTCGGCGACTGAACTCGCTTCAGTTTGGGGCTTCGATCTTGGAGATAAGAAATCTCTGATGCCTCTCCCGCCATCCCAGCTCTCGCAGGATAATCACATGTTCCCAAGTTGGTCTGCCCTGGATTCCGTTGTCTCTGTCGATTCTTGGGTCTACAAGTATGCTCCTGTGACTTTGCATGATCTGATGTCGCCCAATGAGAATGGCCCTCCCTTGTACCCCAGTGTTCCGAGTGCCGAGATTCCAGCACTGTCCAAACGGCAGAATTCCAACTGTGGGAAGCAAACTCAAGTTATATTCAAGCAGTTAGTGGAACTGCTTAAGCGGGATCTGGTCAGCGGTGATGGAGTTGTGGACGAGCTGGGTCCTGGGACACCCGGTAGGACTACGCAACCAGGCAATATCGAAGCTCTTGATTTGCCTGATGGAGGTGATGTGGTCGCAGACACCAATCAATTGTTGCAGCAGCAAACACCATTTACGTCGTTGCTTATGTTGCCTGCTCGTCTGGATCCAAGAGAGAGCAATCGTCTCATTGAAGACAATATTATGTGGGACTGTAATCCCACCGACCAGGCCGCTCAGGTCTTGCTTCACTCTTCCTAACTCCTCATCTTTTTCCTTTTTATGACTTTTGTTGGTACATCGCTTTCAATTTTTTTTTCTGCTTTGCTTGCTATACTTGTTCGCCTTGTTTGGCTTAACTGCTTTGCTTATTCTAATATTAGTGGCCGTTTCTTCTCCCGTTTTCCCTTCGATGGAGTTGGAAACTCCAAACAAGCATCCCTAGAAAGATAATCCCATTTTCAATGTACCGTCTGTTTAAGGAATATGGTCACAGTTTGCTCTGGCTCTTGATTCATAAATGACTGCGATGTTTATGACGAAACCAAATTTACTTCAGCCATCTATTTTAAAGCCTTCTGTTTCTTGATGTCTGCAAACATGTTTACATGGTTAAAGGGTTCTTGCGTTTTGATTTCACCTTGGAGTGATTATATCCATGTGGCAGTAAGGCCAACATATCCAATTCTCCCTTATCACCCTTAACTGGTTCAAATGTTTGCCTTAGGGAACTTTGCTGCCAACGGTAAGTACTTTTGAGTAGAGTGCTCCCTTGTCACCGTTAGATGCATGCTTAGTCCTACCTCCAAGTGATTGTCTAAGGATTCTTTCTTTATCTGTGACATGGTAGTTATTTCATATGATAATATGAGAACTGTTGACATAGTTGAGACTCCTGTGCATGTTTCATTTCAAAGGACCTATTAGAAAGAAAACATTTTCAAGAAGTAATAACTGGTAAAGGGGAAGAAAAATACCATTCTAAGTGATGTATAGGCAAAGAGCATAATCTTTCTGTCTGACTTGTGGAAGTTTTAGAGTCTACTAATACAAGAGAAGAATTATCTGTTGGTTCATCATTTGAGGAGTTCTGGAGTAACTTGACAATCATTCAGGGTTATTATTGAGAGTATTCAACTAATCCATGACATTTAGTTTTGCCATCACAGTATTTAGAACAAATATTAATATTTTATTGATAAGGTTTCCTTCAGTGCCCACTCTCCCATTCTTGTTTGTTGAGAAAATTTTGTATTACTTTGTAACTAGGACTTTCCATTTCCTTGATTTATTTAGCAACAAAATTCTATGGTTTATTCCCTTTCTAAACAAATTATGTTCAGTTGCTGAAGAGTGCTCTTTTGTCTTTTCTTTCTGCTGATCAACAGTTATCTGTCCTCTTGTAGATTTGGGATTTTAATTTAGGTAAATCGAGGAATCATGAGGAGGCTGGTCCATTAGAAGTCAGATATGGTTCAAGCAATGCCGGTTTTATCATCAAGAGTTATAATGACCTTATCAAGGGAACTAGCTTAACAGCTAAGAAAGTGGTGGATGACATATATGAGATGAACTGGTTTATGACACATGATGATATTTCATCACAAAATGTAAGCCATTCTAACTGCATATTTACTTAACTAGTCTTCATTCAATACCTGTTGATAACAAGGCAGAAGAAATTGGTTGTAAATGAATAGGAGTTTTGCAGGTGTAGCATTTCTAATTTGTATAAGAAGTTAATTTTTTAATATATGTTTTATATAGAAGGGCTGGTCTAGAGATTATGTACTTGTGAAGTTGTCATCTATACAACCTATCTAGGTGCTTTCGTGGAAGAAATTTTGCATGAAACTCCATCACTTTGTTTTCAGTAGTTTCAGTGCTTGACTTCCAGAACAGGTTTAATTTCATTGAAGGGCCTAAAGCCATTAGGTATTTAGAAAAAGTAGGAAAAAGGTTTTCGTGGTCTGGTAGTGAGTGTGCTAATTAATATGTTTTTTTATCAGTATGTGTTAATTAATATTATCTTTCAAGTTTCTTTCTAAAATCTAATGAACTCAAAGATTAAGTACAGTAATTAGCCTGGCATTTGAGGGTAACCCAGGAAAACGTTGATTCTTATCATTGGGGCTGCAATTCAAGGATATTGTTTTATAAAAGCACCATTGTTGCTTACACTTAGCCTCGGAGGCCTGCTAGGTTCAGTTTGACCTGATTTGACTTAAACTTGTGAACATATTTCATCCTTGATACTGATCTATTTGTGCAAAATGTGGGTTGTAAGGATTATTACTTTCCTCTTCAGGTAGGGGTGGACTGATCTCAATTCATGTTGTAACAGTCCTTACCCCTCCTGGTGCTTGTTTTTATATTTCTTTTTAAAATCAGTTTGGCTAAACATTTTAGCTTGCATTTTGCAGAACAACTCAAACAACCTAGCTGCAAGCCAGGGGCCAACGACCTCTGAAAGTAATAATATACCAGTATTGAGGGCATCTTCGAGTTCAACTTTAGCTAAACCTAAAGCCTGTGGCAACAGCAAAGATGCCCATTTCCTCAAACAATCTCTCTTGGTTAGCAGCGAAACTGCAAGAGCAGCAACCAAGGCTGACATGGAGATGGTAGCACAGAACAGAGGAAATGCCATGCTACGTTACAAGGAGAAAAAGAAATCTCGAAGGTAAGATCTTCTGTCATTTCCTTTTCTTTCTTTCTCTATAACGTTTAATTACAACTTAGCATTCTTACATGAATGTACGTTTAGGCGTTTAGCATTGTTTCTTTTGTATGTTTTGAACTCAAATACTGTTCTAAATAATGGCATTAAACCATGAATAGATATGATAAGCACATCCGGTATGAATCAAGGAAGGCAAGGGCTGATGCCCGAAAGCGTGTGAAGGGCCGGTTTGTGAAGGCTAGTGAAGCTCTCAATGCTGAAAGAAACAGCTGAACAGTTTTGAGGATGAGCTATGCTTCGGTCTGTAGATATTTATTGCTCCTAAGGTGGTGACTGGAAAAAAAAAATCAAGCATTATCTATTCCTTTGGCCACTCCAATTTGATGTAGAATCCGTGTGAAAAGTTATGGGCCATAATGAAAGGGGGCATATGTTTGAAGTTTGATGGAAATGAGGCCTAACTAAGGGTTCACAAAATGATCTGCCCTGGTCCTGCCCATGCCCATGTCGGCCTACTTGAAGCTTTTCATGATAGGCCCACTGAGTAATGCAAATTCAGGCCTGGGCCTAGCCCCGCTGGATGGTAGTAAGTAGGTGGGCAAGATTACGGAGCCTATCCATTATATCTGGTAACTTTGTACTCCTAAATAAGTCAAGTACCCTGCCAAGTGCCAATCAAATTTGGATATTTATCTGAAAGCTTGACAAGCATCTCTCTATATTTTTTGAATCTATTAGTAATTTCTCTATTCATTGTATCTCTTAATCTCCTTGTACTACCAAGCCATTCATGGTGGAGTTAAGGGCCACCTGGACCTGGATGTTCTCCAACACATGGTTTCTTGGTTCTGCAGTACGAATCGATTCACTTTGAATTGATTCTTTATTCAGAATCTAATCCCGGTTTCAAGTGAATCACATTACTACATACTAATCTACTTGGAACCATCTCCACATTACTACATAATAATTGGAGGAATTATTTTTTAATCGAGGTTTGGTACTTTGAAGTTTGAACTCACTAGTAAAGTGGCAAATCATAAATTGACTGTTAATCAAACATGTATGAGAAAATTTGAAGTTATGAATTCTTAAGGCTCAGTTTGGAAGGAGTACAAATAGAAATATGTAGAGTGCAAAACTTTGTATTTTGTGTTATTTTATATATATTTGTACTGTACATATTTGTATTTGTATTCCTTTCCAAACTGAGCCTAAAGTATACTATTAATATTCAATTCGAAAAGAGAAAAAAAAAATTAAAGGAAGAAAGAAATGTTAGTTATCATCTGCCCTTTGAAGTTTGAATTGAAGGTCAGTGTTTTGGGATGGTTGTAGACTTGTAGTTACCAAACATGTTATATCGGTCCACTCCTAGAGATTTCGAAGAGAAACCTGTGTCCTTGAACCAGAAGCTTAAATGGAACTACCTGGGCAGGATGACATCTTAGCGCTAGGCTAGATATGCGTAGGAATTTGGATGTCCTGCACTTCTCTCCTGAATTTTGATTCGGTCTGTGACAGGTTTCCCATTTACACTAATTGATCCGATTTAGCGCATCGGCTAAAGGCTTGTACAATGTCTTCATTTCACTCTTTGACTAAAGGCTTGAATGCTTTCTACCATTTGCACTTGTTTAGAATTCACATCGGGTGTTGCATTTTTATTCTTCGACTAATGCTTTCTACCATTTGTTTAGAATTCACATCAGGCTTTAAGGCTTACTACCATTTCACTCTTCGACTAAAGGCTTTAATGCTTTCTACCATTTGCACTTGTTTAGGAAATTGAGAGAGGGGTTCGGAGACCTCCCAAGTCCCAATAAAATGTAAACACGCCAATGTTTGGCAGAAAAAAAATAAAACATCCAACTCATGTTTTGTCCTGGTCAGATATAATTGGAAATGGTCCGTCTCCGAAGCTATGATTGGAGGAAGTCTCCAAGTAAAGCCAATGATAACACTCCGCGCCAGTCATAAAATACATGAGCCTATAACTATTCAACTTCTCACTGTGGATCCCATGATCATGAATTTTATTACTGGTGTGGGCCTGTGGGGGCGTTGTCACTGGTTCCACATCCTTTTACACAACTATCACGTTTAAGATTAGCTAATCTTTACCTTAGCATATTTATGGCTTGGCGTGGGGCATCCATTAATCCATAGCATCCAGCTAAGCTAAATTGTCTTCTCAAACCATTAAGGAATCTTCAAGGATAAAAACAAAAGACCAAATTGGAAAAGAATCACCTACGCAACAATATCTTTAAATTCTGCTTATCTTAATCTTATTAATGGAATATGGTTTCTAAGCTGTTATATTTCAATAAACTAACATCGAATAGACACATCCACGCAGCCAACCTTTTCTATTCTTCTCCAGCTCTCCTCCTAATCTTCTTCTTCACATCTGTAACTTAACGTCATCATACTTGAATTTGCCGCGACTCATTTGCAGATAACACAGTGAGTATTAAGTAGATAAAGAAAGCCAAATAAGAGAAGATGATAGAATCAGAGGCTCTGTGACAGAATTTGTCTACTTGGTCACAGATCGACATCCAACCGGTATGAGTATTTCCATAAGCACCAACATAACCAATAGCTGATGCGGCCACAGATGCCGCCATCACCAATGCCATAATAATCTGCAAAGGAATACGTGGACAACAAATTTTTAAACTCCATCATCCAATCCACAAATTCTAGTTTAAAATGTTTATTTGATTTGTCTCAGTAAAAAAAAAAAAACTAATAAAGAAGAAAGAAATTAGAAGAACTATGAAGACCCACTGCTTACCAGATCATGCAGAAATACATAGAAATAGTTACTCGGGTTTGATCCTTTACGGTACAAGACGTAAACAGTCAACAAGGAAACCAGAGAGGAGACACATGCAATGCCGTTTGCATACACAAAGAATCTGCCGGAGATAAAAAGGAAAAGAGCAGAACAAATTGGTCATGTTTGCTCTGAATTTAAAAGGAAAAAGAACCAAAGAATTAAGTATTAATATGGAAATCTGTTTGATTTTATTTTCTAATGCTCCACTTACTTGAAATCCGGCGAATCACTATATACGGCTCTAATCTGAATGCCGAAGAATTCCGTGGATTGCTTGCTCGTGGCCATCAACCATGTCGCAACCATTGCGGCTGCAACAGCCAAGCTTCTGAACAAAACTTGCCCTGAGATGAAGCATTTTTGTCTTCCATGAATAGGGTCTTGTAGGCGAGCTTTGGTTTCGTAGATGATCTCCATGGAAAAATATTTCTACAGGGTAGGGAGAACTACCGAGTGATGACAGAGAAAATTGAAGGCAACCCAAAGCCAAAGGCTACAAGCGTATGTAGGAAGGGGATCCCTTGATGGTTTTTATATATGGGCTTCAACTTGGGACAGACCAATCCCAACCCAACTTGGATTGGCTTGAACCGTTGAAGATTGTGTTAGGGCTAGGGTTAAAAATGCCATTACGATACAGAGTATATCTCGGGTAACCCGACCCAATCCAAGTATGGTAGTTGGTGTTTTGTAATTGTAGGTTTTATAGGTAAGGTTCCAATTGAACCCAACCCCTCCAACTTGAATTATGATTGGGTTGGGTGACAGGGTGAGGATTGATATATCAGGTTGGACTAGGTTTGACCCCCACCCGAGCCAATCCACCCCAAATTTTGGGCTCAACCCGAGCCAATCCACCTCAAATTTTGGCCTCAAAGCAAGGCAATCCAACTCGATTTGTAATTTTGTATCCCATTTCATAGAAAAGAGATGATTTTTTTTTTTTTTGTCGGTAAACATGGAAAAGAGATGACTTAATGGATGATAGATAGGCTGAGATATTATTTTCATTCATAATTCAAATCCGAAGAGAAAAAGGTTAGTTTGTTTTTAAGGCTCAGTTTGGAAAGTATACAAATATAAGCATGTACAATGCTGATAGCCTGATACACGATTTAAAAATATGAAATACAAGATTTTGGAAAGAATAATATCTATTTATCTATCTATCTATCTATCTCTCTCTTTCTATATATATATACAAAATACAAGGTTTTGCACTTTGTTTATATTTATACTCATTCTAAACTGAGCCTAAGAAACCGTTTGGAAGGACTTAGACAAGGTGTAGCGATACATTCACTCTTATGATTGAGCACCAGAAGTTACTTGGAGCAACTTCCTATTTCAGCTGCGTTTCTAGTGTATGGAACATAGTGATCGTCTTTCTGGATTTCATCAAAAAGTTTGTGGGCATGGGTGGAGCTACATGTTGACCCACTGAAGTTCAGAAAAGGCATGTAACTATATTTATTATTTCAGACTATTTTTTCCATGTTGACCTTGGTAAGATTAAAAGAAAATATAAAAGGGTGGGGTCAATTTAATTTTATTTGGATTATTAGATTAATTGACTTTTTAGGCTAATTGAGTTATGAATTGGGCGGTTGAATACTTTTCAACATTTTGAAATGCCAAAGGAATGAAAGGAATAAAGGTCACTTTCGCCATTACATAGCAACTAAAAGAGAAAAGGAAGAAGGAGAAAAACCCAAAAATGTGCTTTTACTCTCTAAGTAGTGTCATTTTTTTAAGTTATTTTATGACCCAACTAGAAAAAAATTCCATACTACACTACTACTTGTAGAGCCCAGTTCAGAATGTCAAAAGCCATGTCCTGAAAACCCTCCCAAATGGACACTAAGGGTCATAGTTGCCCTTTGAGGCTCGCCTCCCTTAATCGTTAAGTAGTTTTATACTATGCATTATAAAATACTTTTTTATTCTTTATTTTTTGACATTATATTTATAAAATAGGCATTATTAAGTTAAAATATTCATTTTGTGTATTTATATACTAATTTCTTTTTATTATTTTCTTATTTGTTAGGATTTAATTAATACGAACATTGCTAAATACTGCATTGAACCTTCAAAGACTTTAAAGCCTGAATCAATAAATAAGGAAGAATTTAAAATTTTGTCTAATCAACACATTTTCTACTACTATTACTTTTTCTTTTTTTCTTTTCTTATAACAAAAATAAGGATTCAGCCCTTTTTTTAATTTTCTTTTCATTAATATGTTGATTTTCTATACTTTAACATGAACTCTATACTTTTTTTCTTATGAAAATTATGAATAACTATGAAGGAAATATGGTTATGGTACCTAGAGAACTACCCTAAAATCTATGTTTTCTACATAATAAATTCCATTGACTAAGCAACGCCTAGGTGACTAGGCGCCCCTTATTGCCTAACCTTGCCTTGGCGCCTTGAAAACTATGCTAAGGGTCATTTAATAACAGCTGAAACTACTCAACTAAATCACTTATTGCTTTATACTTTTGCAAATAAAATTAATTTAAGAATAAAATATTTGATAACTGCAATCAGTCAACTTTCCAGCAACTTACAACCTCTTCAATAACTTACTAAATTAATAGAAGATGAACCAATATGACTATAACGAGCCTAGATTTCTTGCCCACGACAAGTCTACATACACCTACCCACATAACATGCGGGGTCGACTATAACACCCCACCAGCTACATTGCCGGAACCTTTGCTGTTTTAGATGATAGTAAGGTTGTAACAGAGAAAAATCCCGTCCTAAGTTCCAACCGTGATTGCTGCGCTGTTGTTTCATTGATCAAACTCCCATGTTTAATCAGCCCAAGCCAATTACCATAGCCGTGTTTGGTATCGTTGTTGTTTTCACCTATAAGAGTTAAGTGGAACAATAAATGATGTATGTATTGTAAGAGTCACTAATCACATTACATGTAAGAGTCACTCTACTTAAAAGAATTAGACACAGCCTCTCTTACATACAAAATATGCTTGTTTTAACCATAAATACTAACGGTTATATGCCAATTTGTATTAATCAACCTAAAACGTTTCAACGAGAAACAGCAAGCAATGGGACCAAGTATAATCCATACCTAGCAGTGAAAATTTTCATTTTGTAGCAGGGGTGAATAATGAGAATAACAGAAGTCAATCCACCATTTGTGATATAAAACGCAAAAAAACAAAAAGTAGTAAAGAGATTGACTCATAGTGTTTCCTTTTTTTTTTTCAAAGCAAAAAACCAAAGTAGAAATTATTAATTATTGTCATAAATCATGTTGATGCATTAAGTTCATTAATGCATCAATGATCATTGGAGTAGGTTTTTATTTCAAATCCTTTCTCACAATTCACAAATATGTCATTTTGGTCCTTGAATTTTAAAATAGACAACTTAATACTCAAACTTTCGAAATATATCAATTTAATACATACCGCTAACCAGCCCATTAACTAACTCAGATAATATTATGCCGGCAGAGGCAAAGATTTGTGACTTTTTATTTTATTTTTTTCAATATTTGAATGGTTAATAAAGAGGATTAGATAATACTCATGTTATTTTAAATCCACTTAATGGCTGATTAATGATGGATTGGGACGTATAGGAAGTTTGGATACTGAATTGTAAAATTTTAAAATTCGGCGAATTTTCCTTTTTTTTTTTCACGGAAGGAGCTCTTCTTCTCCATTTTCAGCATAAAGAATCTATCTGTATACATCTCTGCTTTTGTTGCGTTGATGGTCTTGAAGCTCTCAACGGTTAATTTTGGTTTGACCCTGAAGCATAAACTCAATATTTGGCTGCCATTCATTCCGTTCCAAAAGCAGTTATCCACGTACCCTGAGCACCAAAAGTTGATTTCTCTTCTGAAATGCTACAACCGAACCTTGGAAATCTCTCAGATCCATGCCAGCATGATCAAGGTCGGACTAGACCTCATACCTTTTCCTGTAAGCAAGCTTCTTGCCTCTTGCATATTCAACATAGATTATGCTGCGTCCATCTTCAACCAAATCCGCAACCCAAATCCGTTTATGTTTAATACTATGCTAAGAGCTTATTCCATCAGTGAAGATCCAAAGCGTGCCCTTTTGCTCTTCAATTCCATCCGGGCTCAGGCGATCTTGCTCGATCAGTTCTCCTTCATCTCCGCACTGAAAGCATGTGCACGTGGATTAGCCATTCGGACCGGCCAAGGGATTCATGCACTTGTGGTCAGGTGTGGATACGGGTTTCTAATCAATGTAAGAAATACACTCCTGCACCTATATTGTGTCTGTGGGCGGATTGAAGATGCGCACCAGTTGTTTGATGAGTTTCCTGAACAAAGAGATTTGGTTTCTTGGAATGCTTTGATGGGTTACTATCTCCATACATCTCAACCGTCTGTTGTGAGGGACTTGTTCATACAAGTGCATAAGGGTGGCTTCGTTGTCAGCACCACCACAATTGTGTGTGCTTTATCAGCTTGTAGTGATTTGAGAAATTTCTACGGAGCAGAATCTCTCCATGGTCATTGCATCAAGAGAGGCTTTTGTTCGGATCTGAATGTGGCTACCGCTATCATTTCCATGTATGCCAAAACTGGGCACATGGATTCGGGACGGCTCATCTTTGATGAACTCCCTAAGAAAGATGTCGTTGCATGGAACTGCATTATTGACGGGTATGCTAAAAGTGGCCGTTTGGAAGAATCATTGACTCTTCTACGGTTGATGAAAGTTGAGGGAATAGTACCCAACTCAGCTACATTGGCAGGATTGCTCGTCGCTTGTGCCTCCAGGGGATCTCTTGCCATAGGAGAATGCATCTATGAGTACATAACAGAGGAGAAACTAGAGTTGGATGCTGTTCTGGGAACGGCTCTTATAGACATGTTCTCAAAGTGTGGATTCCTACAAATGGCAATTAATATTTTTCACAGGATGGAAACTAAAGATGTGAAAACTTGGACAACTCTTATCGCTGGTTATGGTGTTCATGGGCAAGGAAGAAATGCTGTTCAGCTTTTAAACGAGATGGAGGCGAAGGGGGTAATGCCTAATGAAGTCACCTTCTTGGCAGTGCTAAATGCTTGCAGCCATGGAGGTTTGGTGGTGGAGGGTAAGAAGTGCTTTGAAAGGATGGTTCAAAAATATGGCTTTTCACCCTCTATCGAACACTATGGATGTATGATTGACCTCTTGGGTCGTGCAGGGTTACTAGATGAAGCCTATGAACTAATCAAAAGGTTGACCATTCAGGTGGACTCTATTGCATGGCGTGCATTACTTGCAGCATGTAGGGTCCATGGAAATGTTGAATTGGGAGAAGCTGTTAGGAGAGAGTTGCTTAAATTCAACAATGAACATCCTACGGATTCAATGCTTCTATTGAGTACTTACACTCTTGCCGGGAGGTGGAGCAATGTTGCGAGATTGAGTCAGTCAATTGAAGAAGATAAGGCGAAGAGGAAGGAAGTAGGATGCAGTTCCATTGAGATGGATGTCAATTTTTGAACAGTGAGGAAACATGAAAGGGATTTGGGGAGGAATAAAAGGGATGCCGTTGAACCTTGAAACCAGAGTCTGGATCTGCAGCACTTTTTTCCAGTGCACTGAACCCTGAAACCAGATGGATGTCAATGTCCTTCCATTTGGTATCCTATCAGCCCAAGGAGAGAGTTTTCAGGCCTTGTAAAATCTCCAACATGTGTCTGTTCGTGGACATTTGGAACTTCGAATGGCACATTCTTTCGTCACGTTGGGCCAAATTTTTTCTGATCCGACACGTTTGGGATCCCACATGATTGGGTTTCATAACCCGTTGTACACACCTTGTTTTTAGCTGATTCATAGTGAACCACCACAAGGCTGTTAAAATTTATCAGGTCAACTTTGCAGTTCGGGAGCACACAAGTCATCCATTCAATCTGTAGCTTTTTTATGCTTTTATTGTAGTTTTTTGTTTTTAATTTAATTACTTTTACCAACTCTTGGATCGATTTGGTAGTTTATTGAGTTTTTTCTCATAGTTTTACCTGATTCAGGGTATTTGTAAGGAATCCTGGATGCAAGCTGAATCAGTCAATGAGCATTCTATCATAGCAGAACCCATGGGGTTAGGTTTGCTAGATTCAGCTCCAAATCAGAGGGTAAGGGCGATGGTATGAAAAGTATAATGTGGGAGCATATGGTTTTGTTTCTGTTACTAATTAAAGTATTCTTGTTACTGCCGTAGGTGAAAGTGTGGTGGTTCAGGGTATTTGTAAGGAATCCTGGATGCATGCTGAATCAGTCAATGAGCATTCTATCATAGCAGAATCCATGGGGTTAGGTTTGCTAGATTCAGCTCCAAATCAGAGGATAAGGGCGATGGTATGAAAAGTATGATGTGGGAGCATATGGTTTTGTTTCTGTTACTAATTCAAGTATTCTTGTTACTGCCGTAGGTGAAAGTGTGGTGGTTCAGCACTAGTCTTGAGATGGAGTGGACAGCTATTTTGAAAGCTACTCTTTTCGCTTATGAACAGGGTGGCAGAAATTACAAATTATGTTTGATTCTCATCTGTGACTAAAGCTTTAGTTGATGACACTATAAATATCCCCTGCAAGTATTTGGCTATTGTGGATGATATTAAGTCTGTTTGGTCCTTTTTTTTGTGGCTGTTGGGGGTCCAACAGCATAGGCTATAGGCTGTTGAGAGCGATTTTGGGAATGACACATTACCTTGTGTGTGGGTAAATTAGTAATTGCTCCCTATTTTATTTCAATTTAGATTAGTTGAATGCTTTAGCTGTTCAGCGGACTGTGTAACCAATGGCGAGGTTTCACGCTAGTAATAAATTCATGGGCCCCATATATTTAAATACCGGCGTCAAACAGGTAAAACGTTCAGTTAAACCTTGTTCATTTTATTTTTAACCAAAAAGAAAGACATGTGCATGAATAAGTGAACGTATCCAGCCTAAAAATGCTCTCAACAGCCTATGCTGTTAGCCCCAACAGCCAAAGTTATCTCCTTTTTCTATGGCTAAATTCTGTTATATTTCAATAGGTATTTAAATGTGGCAGCTTAATTAGTTGCTCGGAAAGCGTTTTTTTTTCTTTCCGTTAGGATGTGGTGGCTTGACCACCCTCGTGGTCGGCATTGGATAGTTGTAAATTCTGACTGGTATAGTTAATAAAATATTAAAATGTTTAGTTTATCCATCAAAAAAAAAGTTTTAAACCTCTTTGATCTTAAAACATTCTGGTCCTTATATACTTACTTTTAATAGTATAACTTTTATTTTCTTCATCGCACCGTTTTCTGAGAAAAAAGGTGTTGGGCATGTGGAATTATAAGCACCCTTTTATGAGAAAACGGTGTTTATTTTTTATTTAGAACCTGTGCTGTCACATAGGCTGTTTTCTGAAAACAGCACTAGTTTTGTTTGGTACCAGTGCTAGCAGCAAGGTTTTCAACATGGTCTATATTATCCAACGTCCAAGATGATGTCACATTATTGCACCGCTGGCAGTAATGCACTATTTTCTCAGAAAACATTGAATTTGGTATTGCTTCAGACCACACTTTCTCGATTTCTAAGGTGTGGTTTGGTGTAATGTTTTTTTCTTAAAAAACGATACCAAATAAGAGGGTATTGTTTGAAGCACCGCTTTCTTTAACACTTATGTAATGCAGTTTTGTCATATAGAATTCGTTATAATTTTTTATAGCGAAGAGTTTTATTGCCATTTACCTTTGGCAGATTCTATAGCCTTGATGCCTTATTCAGGAATGCTAATGGAGTACTTATTATCTATATTCATATAATTGGTTCTGGGTCTGGGAAGAGAGGTTTCACGATGGCTGCTAAGCACATCCAAAAAACCAGTACTGAAAGAAGGCAAGTGCATTTTCTGCTTTTGGGCTCTGCTCTTCTTGAGCAGAAACTCCAGAGAAGATGAAACCAATGATGCAACTGCCCACGAATTTGTTGCATTTCTTACAAATTCTAACACGTGTACTTTATCCAATTTTCTTTTAAATAATTTGTTTAATATGAATTTAGTTTTTAAATAACCTTTCATTGTTAAGAGATTATTCTTACTTAAATGATTTTTCATTTCATTTAAAATTTCTTTAATTATGCCTTTTAATTTAAATTAGTTACCTTTTATTGGAGTGGTTCTTCATTTAAAAGTGTATTTTAGACATGTCTATTAAATTAGTGACTTTTCATTTCAAAATTAGCAATCCTTCGTTTAGAATTGTCTTTTGATTTTAAACTTGGTGATAGATGTCTTTCTTTGTTTAGTGCTGCTTTTGCTCATAAGGACCTATATATACCGAAGGACATTTGAGATTTAATACATACAACTATATAAGAATGAATATTCTGCTCTCCTACTTAGAAATTATCAAAGCTGTTGAATCTTCTCTTTGTTATTAGTAATATCCATATGCTTACCATGGGTTCGGATGTAATAGGCTTAGGTAAGTACAATGAGTGAGTACGTAGTGTGACACATGTCTCAGTTAATGTGCCTTTCATCCAAATGTTTTTATTTCGTTAAACATAAATTATCTATTATTTTATTATCTTTGTTAAAATAATTAAAAATAAAAACAATGAAAAAGGAAAACCTAAATGTATTGGGAGTTGGGACTTATTTACGTTTTCTTTTTTCATTGTTTTTTATTTTTATTATTTTAACAAAAATAATAAAATAATAGATAATTTCTATCTAACGGAACAACAATGTTTGGATAAAAGACACATTAACTGAGACATGTGTCACACAGCTATTACATGCTCACTTATTGTACTTACCTAACGTGCCTACATCCGGACCCGCTTAACGTGCCTAGTGTGGCACATGTCTCAGTTAATGTGCCTTTCATCCAAACGTTTTTATTTCGTTAAACAGAAATTATCTATTATTTTATTATCTTTGTCAAAATAATTAAAAATAAAAACAATGAAAAAGAAAAACCTAAATGTATTGGGAGTTGGGACTTATTTACATTTTCTTTTTTCATTGTTTTTTATTTTTTTATTATTTTAACAAAAATAATAAAATAATAGATAATTTCTATGTAACGAAACAACAATATTTGGATAAAAGACACATTAACTGAAACATGTGTCACACAGCTATTACATGCTAACTTATTGTACTTACCTAACGTGCCTACTACATCGGGACCCGCTTACCACATAATTTCTGTTGGAATTGTCACAACTGACGGACACATCAATAATAATGTTGTTGGGATGTGCAAGACCGTGGCAACTCTATGTAAATTCCTCCACAATATCCTCGCTGATTTTCAGTACACGCATGAGCTGATTTGGTATTCGAATGGGTTAAAAGGCTCAACCTCATTGATAACATGCAACATCGTAGCAGTAACCAAAACAGAAGACATCGAACAAACATCCAGTCGACAACGATGGAGACGAGCAGGCGTGGTGAGTGCCTAAGGCTCATTCTGAAAGGAGTACAATTATAAATATATAAAATATAAAATCTTGTATTTTGTATATATTATTTATATTGTACATATTTATATTTATATTTTTTTTAAATTGGTCCTAATATACCTTATTTGAAAGGAGTATGAATATAAATATATACAATATAAATATTTATAAAATAATATAAACGAGCCTCATAATTCCCGGTGCAAATGGTTCATCAATCCCAACCTTAGTATATATGATGTGATTGATGGAAGAGAATGAAGTCACGGGATTCATCTTCTAATGAAGCGTGGATAGCACTAGCAAGTAGCAATCCACCTTGGCAGCCATCTAAAAGACAGATAAGCCATAACGGTGAATCGAGTCATCAATGGCTTGTCTGTCCAGATGACATTGAATCCTTCATCGGCGAACTTCTATCTGGAGACTAGTTGGCTTGTATCAGTGAATCCTTCATCGGCGAACTTCTATCTGGAGACTAGTTGACATTGAGTGTTATTCCATGAATCAAGATCCTCCAGAGAGCTCTGAACCAACAGGGCAAACTCCGACAGAAAGCACTCTTCCATCTATCGGATCAAAGGCAGCTAACGGACTCCTATCTCCTTCG